AAAATTTTGATGGGAAAAATATGAGGTTAAAAAACTATATATATATTTCAATGAAATTATACAATATTTTAATTTCTTTGTTAAACTAAGTATTGTAAGATACTCATACTCTTAAAAGCTGCCCTCTGACAGGATACATGGTTGTGTCATCTACCAATGAATAAGCACCAAGTCCAGAACAGTTAACAATTACGTCATATTCTCCCACAAGCTGGAAATAGGATTAATAATAAATGTTACCAAGAAATCATATAATTTGGGTATGAAAATTTCATAATCATTTATGAGAAGCAAACTCTCTTATTTGTGAAAGTTTGAAAGCATCCCATTCCATGAGCGACAATCTAATGTAGTTCTAACCAATAGCATCAAAGAACACAGTGGGTGCTTTGAAATGTGTAAAAATGAGTAATCCGAGTGAGAGATTATCACCACATTCACAAACACAAATTATGCATGTATTTTCAAGATTTGTGAATAAGCACAAAGACTTGTCTGATATTACATATATTATGAGCAAATTGGCTAACTACTGTGGAATACTTTATTTTCGCTGGAATTAATTTTCGCAGAAAAGGCTTTTTGGACGTTTTGTGTGGAATTTATTTTCACTGATTTTTGATGAATTTAATGTGAAATATAGGAAAAAAAGTATTTTCGCTGGATTTTATTTTCCTGGAGTCATCCCTTCAGTGAAAATAGCGAAAATAAATTCCAAGCGAAAATAAAGTATTCTACAGTACTTAGGTTTTGACTAAACAGTTGGCTTTCAAATCTTGTTGCCGCCATTCTGGGCAAATCTATATTATAGTTGTCGCATACGACTTATTTACCACTTCCGTGTCACTGAGAATGTTCTAGAACCGTACTGTGTCTGGGTGGAATATTTTAGATTTTGTTTAGAAACTGGTTGAATAGGTAATAGAACACTGTAGGAGGCAATAGAAGGTAATGGAACATTCTAGAAATTTGTAGTAAGTTCCAGATTCATTATGTATGCTGATGTAATGGTCTATTTATAGACAGTGGGGGTATATATAGGGGAGTTGTTCAGCACTGAGTTCAGATCGGAGATCTCGTTGAATTGTATTGGAGTTTAAGTATCTAGTTATTGGAGTAGTGGAGTTCTACCGCGTTGCTGTACTTGATGTTTGCAGAGTATAATAATACCAGTACCAGTTGAAACCTCATCTGTTGGCTCCGTGTTCGTATTTTATCATCGCCGCCAGGGAAGTCTTTCTGTTACTGTTGCCATTTTGGTATTTGAACCATCACACCTGTACTATACCAATTACGGTAATATTACGTTGCGTGTGACAATAGTACAGGACATACAATGATTTTATGTAGTGGAATATTAATAAATGATTTTCTAAACTGTACAGAGGATGGAGGGTTTGACATGACCCAGACAACAAGAGGGCAATAAGAAGTACCCCAATCATTCACAACATATAATTTTGTTTTATATTGCCTAGAAGTACAATATATTGGAAAATGAATAGATTCTAGATATTTGTATATATGAGTAGACTTCAACATAAATAATCAATAAGGTAGCAACTTAGGAAAAACAATATCCATTATCAGTGAGTCAGCCATTTTAAATCCAATCTTGAAAAAATAGTAATGTGCACCTGTGACACAATATAATTGTCATGGCAGGTTAGAATGAAATCAGCCCAGTCATTTTTAAGAGCTCATGGTTTGGGACACATATTTGCTGTGTTTATGTTCAAAATGACCACCAATCGGCTATATTCAATCCTGCTAAAAATTGACAATGTCATGCATATTTATGACATGTATTGTACCAAGTTTGAAAAAAATCGGAACCTGATTTAATATTTTCAGTTTTTGGATTAAAACCTACCCTAACAGAAAGACAAATCATTGTTTACCTCATCTAGAGAGTCCAATTTTCTTTTAATTGT